CATCATCATCATCATCATCATCATCATCATCATCTACTGTGGGTGACCTGCAATCCACTCACACAGCCACACGCAAGTATGAGCCTTGGTCTTCTCCGAACGGTGCGCTGGGAGCGGGATGCAGATGGCTCAAATATCGTCACCTTGACGGAGGCGGAGCCAAATCCCGCTTCGCCGAAGAGTCTTGCTGCAGCTGTCGGTAAGGTTGTCAAGCGGCAGTTCGTGGATAAGCCGGAGAATGATCGACACGCCGAGTACATGTTGCAGAATGGTCTCATACACATTGGCCGGTTGAACGAGTGGGAGGTTGCGGATCAGTTCCTTGCTGCACAGTCGTCTCAGCAAGCTCCCCAGCTTCAACGCCTTGGTGATTGTGATACGCCCCTGGAGCTGAACGGGGCTGCTGTTAGCACCAGGGAGTACTACTGGGTCCTTGACAAGCAGCATGAAGAACCGCATACAGACAGCTATGTCGAAGTCGAGATCCGGGCAATCGGTCTCTCTTCAGACGTTTCCGCTGGCCGCCTCGCAAACGAGATTGCTGGTGTTGTGAGCAAAGTCGGATCGGAAGTCGAAGGCCCAGCCCTGGGTGACCGAGTCATTTACATCTCAGGCAACAAAAAGGGTGGCTGCGTCCGAACACACGGTCGAGCTGGTCCGCTGGAGCTTGTGAGAATCCCCGATGAGATCTCGTTCGAAGTCGCAGCCGGGTTGGCTTGGGCTTATGTGACAGCAATCCAAGGACTCGGGGAGATAGCTCATCTGGCACCAGAGAACACTATCTTGATCCATACAAATGCAACGGATATTAGTCAAGCGGCTATTCAATATGCCCAGATGATCGGAGCTACAATCTACGCTACTGTGGCAACGGTCAAAGAACGCGATTTGCTTGTCTCTGACTATAGTCTCCCTCCAGACCGGATCTTCTCTAGGAGAGACCTGAACTTTGTCAAGGGCATCATGCGGTGCACGCAGAATGCTGGGGTTGACGTTATTTTCAACGCACTGAGCGGCGAGGCACTCCGGGGGTCATTGGCATGCCTTGCTCCATTTGGGGCATTCATTGATGTCTCGAACCCAGATCTGCGAGCTGACACCACAGTCGAACTGTCCTCTTTGCCTCGTAATGTGAGCATTCACACCGTCGACCTTCCTGTGCTGGCTCAACATCGACCAAAATCGGTTCGTCTTCTGCTCACCGAGGCATTGAGATTGTATTCCGAAGGTAAGATCAGTCAACTCCGAACAACAACTGTCATGGACTTTACCCAAATCAAAGAGGGTATCCGAACTGTGCAGAGTGGAGAAGCAGCAAAGGTAGTGATTGCACCTCATCCGTTCAACTTGGTCCCCGTGGTACCACAACCACTCTGGCCATGCCACTTTGACCCGCACGCCTCGTACGTCCTTGCGGGTGGCTACGGCGGCTTGGGCCGCAGTTTAGCACGATGGATGGCATCTCGTGGTGCAACGAGCCTGATAATCCTGTCCCGCTCCTCGGCTTCAAGCCCAGAGAAGATGGAATTGATTACCGATCTTAATAGACTGGGATGCAAGGTCCATTCGCTTGTCTGTGATGTGGCAGATCTCTCAAGCCTCCAACAGCTGTCCGGGAAGGCCTTTTCCAATCTACCTGCCATCAAAGGATGCATTCAAGCATCGATGGTTCTACGGGTAAGTTTCCAAGGACTTCATTTACTAGATATGCAACAAGACTGACATCTTCCCAGGACGGTGCCTTCGCCGGGCTTTCCTTCCAAGACTGGCAAGCAGCCATCAGGCCCAAAGTCCACGGTTCCTGGAACCTACACACAGTTCTACCGGATAACATGGACTTCTTCATCATGCTCTCCTCGGTCGCAGGCATCTTCGGCAACCGCGGACAGTCCAACTACGCCGCAGGCAATACCTTCCAAGACGCACTAGCCGCATACCGCGTCTCTAAAGGCATGCAGGCCGCCAGCATTAATCTAGGCAGTGTATCCAACGTCGGGTGGGTCGCCGAGAACCGAAGCTCGATGCGCACGCACACAGCAACTTTATTCGAGCTTCTGCGCGAAGAAGAAGTCCACGCAACAGTCGACTTCCTCGTCCGCGACCAGCAAGACGGCGGTAATGCATCAGCGCGTTCACAGCTCGTGCTCGGTCTACCGACTGCAGAGATGTGTCGCCAGAACGGCGTGCCGCCGCCCACGTACCTGAATTACTCGATGTTCACTCACTTCCGCAACCCGGCAACTGCGAAAAGCAGAGAGGTCTCTCAGCAGAAGACTATTGGCACTGCTGCACTTTTGTCGGCGACTTCGGGTATCGAGGGTGCTGTGATTGTGGTGTCCGATGGGATTGTTGAGAGACTTGCTTCGCTGCTTGCTATTCCATCTTCAGAACTTGATGCTCAGCGCTTCGGCTTTGGGGGTATTGACTCCCTTGTTGCTATGGAGTTCCGGGCGTGGATTGTTAAGGAGCTTAAGGCCGAGGTGTCCTTGCTTGATATAATGGGGGCGGAGAATATCAGGGCATTGAGTGAGAAGATTGCTGGCAGGAGCCATTTGATTGTACGGGGGTCTGGTTCTGGATCTTCCTGAGGCATGTTTTTTATCTCCTTTTTTATGGGCTTCTTAGGGTTTGCTTCTCATACTGCTTTGTGTTGGTCTCTCATGCCCGACGCTCTGTGACGCGACAACGTTTTGCAGCGTCTTTTTTTCGAGGCAGTTTTCCAAGCTCTGATTGCTTGGTTCTTGGGACTAGATTCAGCAATTAACATAATGAAGACGGATGTTCTCTACATACCTTCGATCTAAAAAAGACTTTAAGATGTAGTAAGATACTTCAAATCTATTCATTCAATCGAGTCGTTCTATGCGAATAGAAAAACTTCCATTCCAACAGGTTGACAAAATGGCGTGCGTGCATTAAGAAAAATAGCTCATCAGAGCCCTAGACCATGCATTCATTATTCGTAATGTTCATCAACCTTGGAAAATCTATCGTGCAGACCCCGAGGGAAAATAACCTCGCAGGCCCTGACCAGGAACCGCACAAACCGCTAACTTGGGTTCAGCCCCGGACCGCTCATGATGCCACGCTCGCTCGCGCAGAGCCAAGTAGACTGAGCGGAACGGCTGGAGGTCTCCAGGAAGCCGAGCAGGCGGTGTACGGGGATCAAAGCCTAGCTGCTGGAGTTGCGCCTCGCACCAATGCAAGGTGTCTGGCGGTAGGTATTGCTCTGTGTCGTAGTCGGTGTGGGTTTGTTGCATGGCCTGCAGCGTCGGGACGTCGGCTGGGAGACCGAAGTTCTCTACGCCCTTGGGTGGGTGGTAGTAGTTCATATAGGGTTTTCCGGGAGTGCGCTCTGGATGGTCGGTTTGCTTGCGGATGTTGTGCATGTTCCAGGTTTGGACGTAAGATTTGATGTGGGAGCGGAGAGTGGGCATGTAGATTGCGAAGAGGGCGACTTGTTCGGGGATTACTGTTGATGAGAAGAGACCGTCATTGTGAAGTTCGCGGAAATAGTTCTAATTTAGGTTAGTACTCTGCGATTGGAGATCGGAAGGACCCGTGAACGTTGAACAAAAACTAACATGGTAAAGTGTTACTACTGACTTGGCAAGCTGGGCCCACCAGGATTCAATCCGGTGGGTATCGGTGGCTCGTCCTGGTGCACAGCACTGCTCACGCTGCACATCCGGCTCAGTGACGCGGCGGAGCGCAAAGTGAGCATCAGCTAGAAGAGGAACCTCGGACTCAAGGTCAGATCGAAGAGTGCGTGGTTGTCGGTTTTTAGAAGCAACCGTCTCGAGATGATTCTTGAGAACACCCACGGCTGTGTGCGCATCCACGCCCACGTGAATCCAGAGGACATATCGAGAATACGCATCGAGCTCGGCGTGAATGCGGAATCCGAAATTGGCTAACTTGGAATATCCATTCACGTGCCAGGTCAGATTCGGGCCGGCCAGAATCTTTGGCGGGGGCGGACGCCGGGGCACATCGCTCGTGCGGCGTTCCACTGTATCCGGGCGCAGCATGCGGTAGACGCTGTAAAGACGATCTCGGGCAAAGACGTACCCTTTGCTTCGGAAATGGTTGTGCAGTAGTTCCTTGCCATATCCCTCAATGGTCCCCTTGTCCATTTCCGCGGTCAGAGCATCGAGGATCTCCTGGACTTGTGCCTGTTGTTGTGTGGGCGAGTCAAGGCGGAGGCGGATGCCGAGCTGGTGACGAAGTCTACGGAGAGTGCGATTGGAGACATCGTAGCCCTCGTCGTGGAGAACGGTTACAATCTCTTGATCGGTCAGACCCACGTCGAAAAAAAGGTTTTTGATGCGGGCGTGCAGCGCTGGATTTGAAGAATTGTTTTCCTTGACTTTCTTGACACCCCATAGCTGTAGGCGTTTAGTCAGAGTACGCGCCGAGATCTGAATGTCATGCTGCCTCTTCAGGTGTTTGCAAATGTCGTCACTCTTCATTTTCTTTTCGTACAGGCCAATAATTTCCGCTTTGTACGGTTCAATATCGACCCGGGGACGGCCTGACATCTTACTGGGCGGATCAGCTGTGGTCTCCATTTTGGACTCAGATTAAGCAATGTTGATAAGAAGTAGCCGTGGGGAGAGATGTTTGGCGGCTGGGGAAAGGCGGTGTGCGAGACCTAGCAGCAGAAATCGACCGCCTTGATTTTTTTGTGATCGCAGCGCCTCTTTTCAAGGAACAACGTCCTTGCTCTGCTCAGTTATTCTCAATCAAATTTTCAGTTTAAAATCACCCCGGTGAAACTACTGCCACCATGGTCCGTGAACTCAAGCACCACGAGAAGAAGTACGTCCGCGCCTACAGTTCCCGCCGCAGAAATCTCAACCCGGTCCATTTCCAATATCTTCACAAAGCTTTACAATCCCACACAAGACCAATAGCTAATCTAGACCCCCTGTAGACTTCTCCGGAAGGTCGACTTCCACAACTACAAGTCGGACGGCAACCATCGTGAACATGAAATCCGGCAACGATACCTCCTCCAAGACCCAATGGACTACCGCAAATACAACGCGCTCTGCGGTTCTCTGCGCCAGCTCGCACACAAGCTCTCCCAACTGGACCCGGACGCAGACCCCCTGCGCAAGAAGCTCGAATCCGAGCTGCTCGAGAAGCTGTGGCGCATGGGAATCCTGAAGCAGTCCCGCGAGCAGGGCGCCGGTTTGTCCAAGGTCGAGCGCGAAGTTACAGTTTCTGCGCTGTGCCGTCGCCGATTGGCTGTCTTCATGGTGCGCTCTGGCATGGTTGAGACAATTAAGGCTGTAAGTTGCTAGGTGGAAACTTGGCTCGAGGTTGGATGCATGGAATCGAATGCTAATTTTTTTTGGTGGCTAGGCTACTACTTTCATTGAGCAGGGTCATGTCCGTGTTGGTACAGAGGTTGTCAATGATCCCGCTTTCTTAGTCACCCGCAACATGGAGGACTTCGTCACCTGGGTTGACTCCAGTAAGATCAAGCGCAACATCTTGCGTTACCGCGAGAAGCTGGATGACTTTGATCTTCTATGATCGACTCTTTTACAAAAAAAAAGCATTTTGGGTTTTTGTTCTGATATCCCCGGCGCTTGTGCATTGTGGCCTGTTTTAGGTTTGGCGTATTGATGTTTCTTGAAATGATATCTCATGTCCGAAGTTCTCTGGATAATTCAATATGGACACGGATACTACCTATGTTCTCTAGAAATGTAGAGAGTCAACTGCTGTATACCTTCAATCGCGTACTGTATGGTGGCTTTAAACCCGCTATTACTATTTACTTCACACTTCATTATCAGTCCAACTGTATCTACCCAGAGAGCGAAAACCGACCCACAAGTGAGCCGGCATTGCATTTATTGTAACGGACTGTTGTGGGACCTGAATCGGTCAAGCAAGTGAGCTGTACCTGGCATTTTTCCATCTACTGTCTCAGAATATCTGGAACCGAGGGCCGTCGTACCCCACTGGAATGTGGCGATATTCGAGATGAGTCACAGTGATCATTTGAAACCCTCGTCACCATGATCCATTCTAGCTTCCACCCTTGCAAAAAGATCAAAATGGTGCTATGGACCGACAATCCGGGCTCATCGTATTGACAGCCGCCATCTGTGCGTGACACCTTGATGGCCTGGCTGGATAAAAGGTGCGCTTTCCCAATTTCTCATCTGTCGACGCATTTGAGGTCTATCTAGGCCGGGCAAAAGAAACTAGCGCGAAGTTTAAAGAGGGCAACTGTGATACACGGGGCGACGAATCTCGAATATGGCGCGACGTTGAGTCTGATGATGTTGATGCGGACTCAACTTCTGGCTATTGAGTCACAACACATGTTGATTGGATGCCTCTGTCGGATATGAACCTAATTGAATTTTCGTTTTTTTGCTAAAAATGCAACTCTGAACCCGATGATCGTTTTTCAAAGCCACGCCAGTCCATGCCTAGTGAGTAGGGCCCTCGGATGATGATCGGTGAGTGGATCAGAGTGCTCAGGTGATGATCAGGCGATGCTTCGCGAGGCAAAGCATTGCGCCCATGAGGTGATCTAGGCAATGACTAGTGGTTTTCGAAGTCGAGGCACTCAAGAGGCGTGCGCACTTTTGCTCAGTGGTCAAAGAGCAGCAAGAGGTACGATGAGCACTAAAAACAGAAAAGGAATAATTTCACATGCCCGATATTAGCTGTCACATGTGTAACGGAGGTTAAATACAGCGTTCCAATAATAATGAAGGGTATCTCAGTCTTTTAACAACGACAGGAGCAATGCACCGAAAACAAAAGGGACTGGAGGTAAGAATAGGCCAAGGAGTGAAACCACCCGGACACGAAATATGTTGAACAGCGGAATGGGAGCCCCTGGATGCAAGGTTAGATCATCACGAGGGATCAGGGTATCATAGGAAAAGCAGTGGCGGCAGTGTAGTTTTTGAGAGCAGCACCTGTGCTATGCTCTGTGGGGGTGACAAAGGGGATCGTGAAAAATGGTGGAGAAACCAAGTCGGGACCAAAAATTTAGGTATTAGGAAGAGGTGAAGGTTTTGAAAGAAGACCCGTCCAACGTCTTCGAGCGCCATCGGAGGAATTTGAATTCGAGCTGGAGGTCGAGGTCGAGGTCTTGCCTAGGAAATCCAGAAGTTGGGTCTCTGATTTTCCCTGGTGCGAATCCGGTTCTGGCTCCTCATCTTCAGGGATATCCATACGGAACCGACGCACGCTGCCTTCGCACTCCGTCTTGCCTTCTTCGAAGAAGGGAGTGCGCGAGTCGCGGGACTGGAAGCAACGCGGTGCGACGCGGCGCCAGAGACCCCGGAAACCACTGCTTGCCCGATCAATTTTCTCGTACTCACGCCGCCGGGTATCGGGTGAGGTCCATTCCATTACTGTCACCGGGACGTGGATGGACGTGGACGGGGGGCTATGGTGGGGGTTGGTGGGCAAGGTGTTTGATCGATCTCTTGGTTTGACAAAGTGCGGTGCGCTTGTCGAGATGAGCGAATGAGACTCTGGCTCACAGCGGAAGCTGGAATGTAAAGGTGCGATTGGGGAAGAGGGTGCCGAATTGCCTTTATCTGTTAACATGCGCCTCTCGCGCTGAGATCTATAAGTGGCTGATGCTGCTCGATGTAGAGTAGGTCTTGTCTCGGTCGAGGATCTGTTCGATCCATCGCCTTGGAACAGCCGACATGACTCCCGGTGTAGAGCTAATAGTGATTCCCGCTTGTCCTGCACGGAACTGCAACGTGATGTGACAGGCACAATGGCGGCGTTGGGCATAGCCCGGCGCGGTGAGTGGACAGAACTGCGACGGCTGTTAGGTCGCGATCGCCCGGTGCTGCGGGAGGCCGAACGAGAGAGACTGATCGAAGTAGATGTCGACGTTTGTGATTCTCGACGGTCAGGCCCGTTTCCCGGCGGGTCGATCCTTTTCACCTTAGGGGTCATCTCCGATGGGGATATTGGGGATAGGGTAGGTGATTTGCATCCCTGGCGCTTTGAGATGGTGGGCTCGCACTTGGAGATAGCCAGAGATGGCTCAAGGGCCAGACATGTGACGGAAGCCATTTCCCTGTCAGCAGGAAACTTTGATCATAGGCCAATTTAGGCAAGTCCCCCCGATCCAAAATCCAATTTTATATCTCGAGAGGGAGTTCATGTAAAATAGGATTAGGGCTCAAATGTAGAAACACGAGAGGTCAACTCCATCTTAAATGACATGGGGTGTGAAACACAAAAATTAGTTCAATATGACTGTGACAAGCAAATCTCTTTCATTTTACTATTTAAACACGCGCACACCGCTCCTCATTTATTTTAGCGGGGTGGGGGGGGGGGGGACGGTCTAGAATGTCTAGCGATGATCGCCTTCTGAAGGCGCTTACCCTGCAGGTAGCTGCCGTTTCAAATGCAGGGGCTTTGTAAAACAGAGCATGGGGTTAAATACTCTATGGTCACGTATAGGAGGCCATGAAGACCTTACGACTCATCAGCTATAAAGAGACACCCTACCATTCACCACTTATGCCACTGTCGAAACTCTGGACGATCAAGATCGAATTTGGAGAAGATCCGTCAAGATCATGCTAACTTTTTTTTTTAACTACACTAGTTCTAACTACACCAACTAGGACGTAGACTAGCCTGGGATGGAGACTGCACCCTGCATGTGCGTGTTGGGACACCGCTAAACGCTAGTCTCAACGATCTGCTAAAGGACGGAATCCTTTGATTTAGAAGCGAAATCCAAAATCTCATAATTGAAATACATCCCCTAGTGATCTTCCAATCTCTAGTTTAAAGAGAATAAAGGAACTCGGGATTCTCCCGATCGGTTAAATCAAGGAACCTACGAAAGTGAGCAAGATCGTAGATGCTGTCATATGACTACAGAGTACTGACTCTTGATTCTCGAGTCTCACATACTCCGATTGGGCAGTGAAACGGATCTTCCTCCGATTCTCTCGGCGATACCACATCCAGACCCCGACCAATAGGAATAGACAAACGCCCCAGCAGACGATGATAGTCACCTCGGCGGGGACATAGCGGGGGGCATCCTTCGGACGGAAGGTTTGTGGGCCTAGAAGTGATTAGCGTGCTCGCCACGTTTTACCCCTGATCTCATTGAGTATTTTTTTTGGGGGGGGGGAATTTACCGATAATATTTCCAATACAATATCCAATCAAATATAAAGCTGCCACCGTCGTTTTCTTGGTATATCCCGCAACATTGGAAGAAATCAGTGACAGCAATGCCACGAAAGGGGTCGGGCTGGCTTGTGTGAGGTAATAACCGATCAAACGACCGACATGGTTCGACAAGGGCAGGGCGACAATGAGCAGCATTCCCACGATTGCAGCCACTAGCCCACCCAAACTGGCAAGGATGCGCTGCCCGGTGATATGTCCGACATAGCCGTTGAGCAGCAGAGCAACGATTTCCACTGCCCCGCCGGGGACACCGAGGATTAAACTCTCTTTCGCGTTGTAGCCGAAGCTTGTAATCTGGTGGACTGGTCAGCACGCTTAGGATTGTCAAGTCATGATTGGTTAACCATCAACATACCATCTGACTGAAGAAGTTGGAGATACCCCCGTTCGGAATGTCAGCAATCAAGGCATAAAAGAAGAAAGCCCATGTCATCGGATCCCAAAGCGCTTCCTGGACCTGATAGAGCTTAAAATGCTTATTGCCAATGCCTTGTTGGTTGACCCGCACACGGGCAACGGCCAAGATACGATCTTCTTTGGTTAACCAGTGTGCATTGAGTTGGTTGTCGGGCACAATCCAAAGGAAAACCAGTCCCAGGCAGATGGTGAGGAGGCCAGTGACGAGGAAAATGATCTTCCAGGGATCGACGGAGGACCCATGTCTCTCGGCACCGACAGCGATGCCGTACGCGACTACTCCACCGAAGACCTGGCCCACGCCGTTGAAGCTGAACCAGATGTTGACACGGCTGCCTTGTTCTTGTTTTGTGTACCACTGTTTAGGATTAAGCTCAACTCATGGTATCTAGCAAATTACCTGTAATTATTGGTTCGCAGCAGGAACAGGGGTACGAACAGGGGTGCGAACAGGGGTAGCAACAGGGGTAGCAACAGGGGTAGCTTTCATACCTGAGAGGTTAAGAGTGCAAAGCCCGGCGTCACAGCGGCTTCAAATACACCGAGCATAAAGCGGATAGCGATTGCACCGGAGTAGGTTTTCACCGCGGCGAAACAGCTGAGGATCAGTCCCCAGATCAAGATGCAGGCTGCAGAGTATTTTCCTAATGGGAGACGCTGAAGGAGGCGGTTGGTAGGGTATTCCCATGCAAGATATCCTATACCGAATAACCATTAGTTTCCAATGCGCCTGAAGAAAAATCCAATTCAGAAAAGAAAAGCGAAGACGGAACAGACCAAAGTAGAACAAACTCCCGAGCCACTGATACTGGTCTCCCTCAAGATCTAGATCCTGCTTCAGACCCATGACACTTGCATAGGAGAGAGTGGTTTCTATAATTTGGATCACACATTAACACTGCGAGTTGAAAAAACAGCCACTAGAATAGAGCATGCAAGTGAAATCGCTCCTGCCTTGCTGCGATTGGGAACGAACTGGAGGAAAGGGATGCACACATACTGTCTAGATAATTCATGCCATAGATAAAACACATGATAGGCATCATATGCCAATCGATGATCCTTAACAAGCGGCGATTAGTGGCCTCATCTAGCTCGATAGTTTCACCCTGAAGATCGCCCAAGACATTCAGAGCCTCATCGGCGTCGTGTGCATGCTTCTCTATCGTGGGATCCACATTTTTTAACCTGTCCACGTCGAGGCCGTTATCAACGCGAGATGAAAGGCCGATGGACTTTTCCTCTGCGGCCATGGTTTCTGTTCTATAAAGTAGAGAGAAAAAGGATGCGGTGAGGATGGATCAAGAGCAGACAAGGTCACACAGAACAAACCTAAGCTCTCGCCAAGTTACCGGTAGTGCAACTATAGGGAATACCAAGGCAACATACAGAAAGGGTTCAAAAGAACAACCCCAACCAGGCGGGCGTAGATAAATATCGTAAAGTAGAGTAAGGGCGAGAACTCCGCACGCCCGATGGTTATATAGAGCGATCTTAGCTGAAGACTAAATAGGTTACTATATCCTGTACCTTGTACCTCCAAACAAACCCGGTCAGCTGCACTGCACCTGCTGTTATCTCGACAGTGTTCACTCGACATTCCTCCTATTAAGCGATGCAAACACATGCAGCTTGACAAATAAGGGGGTCTCTTTACGATAAGAGGTTGTTTTGTCTGGGGTTGGTGGGTTATGATGTGTCTCATTGGATGGCCGAGAGAGGGGGAGGTGAGGGGAATGATCGGCATGGCAGATTACTTTGTACGATCAGTAGATGTTTACCACATACAGGGTAACGGGGTTGGTTATCTTCGTCCAGATAGTCGGTGACATTTTCGATATTATACGCTGCGGTCTACCAGAATGTGCTGTGAACCAAGCTGCACCACCTGGCCTTGACGGCGCAGGGGACTGGGGTCATCATTTCGGATGTGTCAAAGGGGAGTATGCAGTTCAAGGGTGAGTTGTATCAATCATCATCGAGGTTTAGGCGAACAGCTTGCAGGATAGTTGGTGATTGTTTGCTTGTGCGGTACGTTTGTTGATCAGTTCAGCTTATGCGAAACAGCGAAAACTATAGACTCGTGGGTGAAAAGTCATGTTCTCTATCTTTGTTAACCTTGGAATGAAATGTAGAAGTAGTAGCTTGTTAAGATGGTATAGATAGGCCGACGCCAGTAGCTGCTTCTCCATGAAGTTCTGATTAATCCTAGTGTCCTTAAAATTCTTGACAAGATCTCATTGGGACGCATCATTTACAGATACGATAATAAGGATATTTGTTAGAGATACTAGAGATCTACGATGAATGTAGATGTAACTGGAAATCTCTTGATGCGTTGAGAGAGAGAGAAACCATCTACATGCTATGACTGAGACTAAGTACTGGGAGCAAACAGTGGTGGTCACGCGACCTTCCAACAGTGGTAAATGAACATTTGGAGGCCAGTAGCCATTGTTGTTTGCCATGATCCTAAAGAATCGAAGTTGAGATGTTTCGGAGGCAGACTGTGAATGGAGAGAGTCGGTCGTACTGGAGAATAGATCAAGGACGCAGCGCGGATGGGCAGGGGGTTATATACGTTGTGAAGGAGAATGACCGTCCGTCCTTGCTTATGAGAGCCTTTCACGCTTCGCCGTGTTGGGTGGGAAACTTGTTATGCATGCCGTCGCTCTGACTGGCTGGCTGGTTCTGGGGCGCTTATTGATTTATGATCCTCATGAGAGTATTGGGGAGAATCCACGAAAGTCAGGAGCACTATTACAAGGAATTTCCACAAGGGGTGGGTAGGATTGGATGCTAGGACTTCGCTGCAGCGAGTATGGAGCAATCATGAGCTACCAAGCAGGGCACGTCGGTCTCGATACAAGCGCAGTCAAAAAATGAAAATTACCATTTAATTGAAACGTATTGTAATATTTGCATCCGTGCGCCGAGGTATATTACTCCATTCCAAAATCTTACTATACTAAGAGAGGTCCCCCCAAGTAGTTTGTCCTTTCAATTGTGCACACACCTGCTCAGTCCTCTCCCTGCCATTATCACGGGAAAAGACGGCATCAATCTGGTAAGGGCATATGCCTTCGCTTCTATTCTCATACTAATATTGATTATACAGACTCCCAAAGCCGATCTCGTGATGTTAGCCAAAACAGCATTAATAGCTTTGCAAATTTGGTGGCTGGATACCCCGGACTCGGCAGATGCAATTGAACGGCAACACAAACTGGATCCTGGGGTTTAATCGCTAGTGATAGCCTGTCAGCGTCTCAGGAAGAATGGATACAGAGAAGGACGGATCCAAGTAGCCCAGAACGGAATTTTGAATCTGTATGTGCAAGCCATGACGGAAGACCTCACCGAAGACTTGCTGAAGATGGTCGCGCTCCTTACCCGGTATTTCAGCGCACATTCTAGAGCGACTCTCCTTTGTCGGCTTCTTCGATTCTTCAATAACCCTTCAGAATATCTCAACGTTTGCATTGACATCCACCACAGATACGCGACAACGGTCAAATCGGAGTCAATAACGAGCTTCGAGAAAAGGTTTATCGACCTTTTAGGGCTCGTGGAATATTTTGTCGTCAATGGGAAATGGGTATTATATTTGGATGCCTAAGTGCACTGTCGGATTGGGCTGCCATCGTTGCCGCAATCTACTCTCCTCAACGGAATATTTCTTTTTACCAATTTGAATGAACCAACCTGAATGCTGCTCTACATTTGTCGCCAAAAATTGAATTATATTATTACCCCTAATGTTATTCTATATTCTGTTTCTCCGTTGCTTGGCCTTGCCTGATCCGAACATTGAAAGATGTATTGAAATCACCGTTGATGTACCACTGATCATGAACGTTTCAAGAAAGAACTCATCTTTCTTTCATTGCATGTCTACATGCACGGCATTTATACGCTGACACAAAAATGAATGACTGAAGAAAGTACACATGGGCGGTGCAAGTTTGCTGCCTTGGCTGCCTCAGAATTTAAAGCATGTAGATGACAAAAGAATCATGCCTGTATATAAAAAGCGAGTTAATGCTGTGAGCACGCTCGAATCCATGTGTGTCAATCCTTGAATTTCCTGACAATCGAGTAAAACTCCAAATATTCCTTTGAGACTGGGGCAACTCTATAATGCAAAATATCGAACACAAAAATTCAAGTGAGCCTGTCCGAGAGACTCTCGGCCGGAAATCAGAAAAGGAGAGCTCAATCTCCCATACTCCAAAAACTAAACTAGAGTCGAAGATGGGCCGAAATTTCTCCAGAATAGCTCTCTCGACGAGAGGAGGCCGATCCTCATCCCCGGTTGTTGCGGTATAGCCGTGGATGTCAGAAAGCATATCACGCCGAACATGCACTTCTGTTTTGATCGCCAGAGTAATATGAATGAAGCGGCCCATATCAGTTTTCTTGCGCGACTCATCTTCGAGATGCTTATACAACAATTGCCGAAAAGCCTGACCCAATCCACCGTTCATTGTATAGTAGGTCGAATTTTCCATCATGACTACGTAAATGTAGGCGGCTGGGAATATGTTCATTGTTTGAGGTTGACAATATCTCTCTCTGCATGCTTCCCGGATACTGCGGCAAGGTACTATATAATACCCTCCTGGGTCATTCAAAACTATGACTTCAGGCCTGTCAGCGTCGAATTTGACTGGATAATAAGTTTACTTACTTTGAGAGAAAGGTTCAAAAAGTCGTTCCCAGTCCATTGCCGAGTGGCTGGAAGGATAGCACTAAAGATAATGAGCTGAAATGTGAGGGACTTAAAGAACTGCAGTTTAGGGAACGCCCTGGCCTAAATTAGATATCATTTCTAAGAAACAATCATTCTCGGACACATCAAGGATTCCTATATGCAGGGAATCCTGGTACGAAAAGCCATTTTTTGGTAGTTCATTACACAAATTTTCAAAACCTCAGGGTACGCCGCATATGTAGTTTAGCCTCAAATTGGCGCCGAAAACATATAATGAATAAAATTATCCCCATAAGTGAGATCGGCATGCAGCCATTGTGAGCTCTCAGGCACTCAGTCAGTTATCCAATGGAAGGTGCATGTAATCGGACTCCAATGGCCCCGCGCTAGCATCAATCTGCTTCGGGCGAACGCAGATAACTCATTTTCTGAAAGGGCTAGAGGTGTTCCCGCTGCGCAATGGCGCTAAGTCTACGCCAATTTTCAGTAAGACAAAAATTCCGACTTTTTGAAAGGTTTTGTATTGTATTGGGGGAAGTGGGCCGAAACACTCGCTTTGATTGATCAGAGCAGCCTCCTCCTAAAATATGTGGTATGAAGGTAATGTTACTTGTGAACATACCATTTCATACTAGTCAATGAGCAATGATAAAGACAGCAGATATACGCCGAGCTTCAAGGCAATCACCTGCCTCAACACCAACTTCAACCACTGGATATTATGCCATACCTCCAAATAATTTCCTTTGCTTTTTTTCTAATCCACACCTGTCAAAGATTGTTGTGGGATATGCGAGCCAACATTGGAGTTGAAAATTTTCTGCAGTACCTACATTGTGCTGTTAGTTTGTCCTCCGTCAACGAGTTTCCTCTGCAACATAATTTTCTCACTCAATGGGATCTATATCTTAATCACGTCCAATACCATTGCATCGGTTACTTCTCTTTCTGGCTCTGTTTGATCATCAGTCTCAATACATGGGGTTTGTGTTGCGTGAAAAGACTCACGACATTTGTAAAGTACAAACTCAACAGAGAAACATCTATGGTAAGAGCGGCGTCCTGGGCGTCCTGGATCATCTTCCAAGGGAAGATCACCTTCATTTATCGGGAATCCAATGGCAACCCGGTAGCATTGAAGGAATTCGGGAAAATCTTTCTTCGTGATCAGACCTCTGTGGATATCGTCCCCTTCATTCCCTTCACATCCTTCTCCTTCCTTTCGACAATGACGGTAGCACGCAGTTGGATCTGGAAAGAGTTGAAAGCATCGCGGACAAATAAATTTCAAGTCTGTTTTTACCAGAGCTCGAAGCAAGATTGCGAGCCACCTTTCCACGTCAGACATCTTGGAGTAAAGTGATAGAAGCAACCAGGAAACAGAAGGCTGACAATTTGACAGAAGTATACTCTTTATAGGCGAGGGCCGGCTCGCGAGCGCATCTTCACAGATCCAAGCACATTAGTAAATGCACTTGCCGAATAGAACTAGCGGTGGGGATGCAAGATAGTACTCCTGCCAACTTTTGATTAAGATTTTGATACAAAAACCTTTGGAGTGACACGGTCTCGACTGATTGTGGCCTTTGGTTCAATTTTGTTCCAGCATAGGTACTAGTTTACAGCTGCTCTTACAGCCTCGCATATCAAATGTCCAAGTGTTTTATTGGCCATATAATTCAAGTTAGCTTCATGATGACACTATCTAGGATATGAAGCTAAGCGGATCCAGGACAGTCTAAAAGCGTGGTCTTCAAGCAAGAGCTTGAATTTGGAAGGCTCAGTTGCAGGTCGTGTTCTACTAGGAGATCCCATCCAATGGAAGATCTGATCATCTCCGTCTATCCCGTGACTGTTCCCTTAACACCCCGCAGCATCCAAAGAGCCCGAGGATACGAGACCAAAGGGTATTTGATATATCTATATTTCGCACAAGACACAAGACTTAAGGTATTGAAAGAAAAAGGATAAAGAATTTCGTAAGGAGACTTGAAAAACAGCACAACGCATTGAAGGATCCGCGATGTCAATAACGTATAGAGATGCAAGGTTATATACCGCCTGAATTGTACCAATGTCGCGATACTACACCTGTCCTCATCATTAGCTATGTTCATCCAATTCCAGGGCCGGCTCCACCATCTTGCTTGGGATATGGGGCCGAGTTGATCAAAAAATTGCTTTTCGCGAAGGGAGGTCAGAGCGAAGTGTTCAGACAAGATTGATTATATGATGCATGGAGAAAGTCTAGGCTTGAGATATTACACTGCCATCTTGGCGATCCTTTCGCGCTTACAACTTACAGGTCTTACATAGATCGATCGTCTTACTGACTTGGCGCCACACAACTGAGTATTCACAACCTTCACAACCTTCACAACCTTCACAACCTTCACAACCTTCACAACCTTCACAACCTTCACAACCTTCACAACCTTCACAACCTTCACAACCTTCACAACCTTCACAACCTTCACAACCTTCACAACCTTCACAACCTTCACAACCTTCACAACCTTCACAACCTTCACAACCTTCACAACCTTCACTGCCTTCACTGACAGTCCCACAAATTCCCGACTCTCGAATTTCACCGCTCCTGATGCCATACAAGGCACCTGGATTCACTCCAGTATACACGAAATACGACGAAATCAAATTGAAAAGGGCAGTTTCCGAGAATGACCCCGAAATACTCGGCGAGCGCTTAAGCATCGCCTGCTCCACAGCACCAAAGAAATGTAATTACAGGTTACAGCACCAACGAAAAGCGGCCCGAAGAATCTACCTACTGGTTTTTGAGGAAGATCCGAACATATTTATCCCATTCATCCTCTCCGTTTCACCGAGAGCTTGCGAGCACTTCAATTTCTCGATTTTCAAGTCTCAGCACGAGAAACGAACCAAAATCATGTACCATGAATGTGCTTTGTTCCTCATTTGGAGGGTGGCCCGTGGGCATGGCATTGAGAAGACGAACATTTTCATCAAATTGGTACAGTGGCACATGCAAACATCCCCGCCAGTGACGGGAGCTGAAGGCAAGGAGGACCAATACTGGTCGTTACGACTGTCTAGTTTTGCCGCAATTCAGAGTATGTTCGGTGATGTCATTGCAGACGCAGTTCAACGTTTCCCACCAGAAGCAGAAATGAGTGTAGGGGATTACTTACCAGAGAGTACAACCAACATTTGGACAAGGATCCCCCACCGAGAGCCTCAAGATTCACTAATTTGCCTCTATGTTGGACGGGCTCATGAGATCGCCAAGGTGCTATTTCCAATTGGAAGCCAGAAAGTTGCCTCCGTTCTCGCGGCAGATGTTCCGAATGCAACCATGACAAGTACTCCGCAGGCTGCTCTAGGTCCAGAGAGCGCTAATAAAACATCAACATGTTCCGAGTTTGGTATGAAGAATATTAGTGGTACATATTTCCAAATGCTGATAGCACTCGAAAGCAGATGACGCATATTTCAGTTTACGCGGTGCACACGTCGAGGCTTTACAGTCGATCTTCAGCACGGAAGTATGCAGAGGCATAGATGAAAGCCAATTGAGAACATGGGAGAGAGAGCAGCTGCTTGTGGATACAACGGACTGTATTACAATGCAGTTATGGCGGGGGCAGCCGCATCTTGGAATTATCCGGCTGCGAATCGGATTCTATGCGGGATCTCATTTAGCCAATGTTTTGTATCAAGAAGCTCCTCGTATTAGTTTACCTTCAAATTGAAAAGTTACCGTATTTCCGTCCATTTCACTGTCCCTCCCCTGATAAAAGCAGACACCTTTGCAGGCATAATGAGTTCCCCACTCAAAGGTAGCGTTATTTTGTCTTTTTCGGTGACCAAGATTTCCGTTCCCTCGCTCCGAAATGTCATATGTTCACATTGCATATAGCAGAGTTCTCTCTTAACATTATCTCCGTTAATCATGTGAAATGGATGTGGGATGTAATCTTTAAGATTATTTGGATCCAATTCTTTCCAACTATTGCGCTATCATAAAACGTTAGGTGTTCCTATCTTGAATATCGATCTTGGAGAGCCTACCAATGTGGATCCATCACTGAAAGAATCAGCCATTTTTCAAAAGTAATATTGTACGGATGGGGGAAATGGAAGATGGAAATGAAGAGCAACAATCTGCTTCGCAACTTCGTCTGCGGTTGGTATGACGAGACAGCAGAGGTCTTGAATAGCAAAAGATCTGGGGAAATATGGAGAGAAGATAACCAGCAAATCTCAGTAGTAGGTTGGTCCCCTCGTGAAATGCTTGAACGAGAAAAGTGTTCCCAGAGAGGGGTTTACAACATAGGAAATTGTCGGGCAGTGGAAGAAATTAGCCCAAACCCCACCATTTACGTCAGGCTGAGCCACAGCGTGGCTGGTCTCTTCTCGTCACGTGACTCTGCTCATTGATAATTGGATGTCATCCAGAATATGTCGGCGCAGTTACGCCGGTATACCGGAGGATTTATTAATCCTACCAATCTTCTTATGTAATCAGGATAGCAGAAATTCCCAGAATAGTAGATACAGCAATACAGAGAATGGATACCATTATTGGACCCATACATTACACAATTTGGAATACGCCGACAGAATACGGGTAGTATCAGTCTCCGCCTAATTGACCCTCACCCTCGTCCTCATATGTGGGTTGTGAAGGCAGTGAAGGCAGTGAGGGCAGTGAAGGTTGTGAAGGTTGTGAAGGTTGTGAAGGTTGTGAAGGTTGTGAAGGTTGTGAAGGTTGTGAAGGTTGTGAAGGTTGTGAAGGTTGTGAAGGTTGTGAAGGTTGTGAAGGTTGTGAAGGTTGTGCAGAAGGGGCAATGTCGCAGATATGTGACGTGTCATAGTCTCATTGGCTGCGCATAGTACCAAAGCTTCCAGATAAATTATAGCTTATGTAAACAGCATATTTTGTGGCGGCTCTGACGCGTACTTGTTTGATCAGATGCAAATGACAAAGGTGCTTGCAGCCAGAGGCATAGAATCATGTGATGTTGATCGGTGCTAACGTTCCATGGGGATCTAGTCGTTTAGTAAGAATTCAACTCGCAAAATAACGTTCGATATTGACAGTGCCAACAGAGCTAGGTCATGAGCACTGAATTCAGTCACAAGAACAAGTAGGGGTATTACTCGACATATCATGCCCGTACCCCGAGGCGAGTTTTGGGAATAGCTCCATACCGTTCAATGATCAGATCATCCTTCTGTATCTTAATTCGCCGTCTGAGGCAAGGTGTTGCGCCAGATCCAGATTGGGGATGCTGTGATGCGTGTAGAAAGTGCTGGGTTAGACTGGCTCAAAACGAAACTTTGAGCACGCTATAGCAGCAAATGAGAGATCATTAACTAATAGTTGATGTATTGCAGCATATTGTAATTGATTATTCTCGGAATGCAGAAAGCTTTTGTGATGTGTCCTAGTCTTGAAAAATAATTACGGAAGGTACCACCATCCAGACCGTTGCTGGCCATTGCTCGAGTGCCTCGCAATCTTGCTTTTAAGTGTGCCTCCTACAGGTGTTCTATCTTGCTGTGTTGAGATCCAGAGACCAAAGGTAGGTAAAAGTGGACTGCAATCAATAACGGTATTTGTGTCAACCCAATAGGAAATACAATAACAAGCCAAAAACATGTAGGGATACCAACAACAAAATCTTCGTAGAGAATAGGAATCTCTAGGGCCAAGAAAAGAAAGCACACGAGAAATATCAAGGCTGAAGGCTGCGCGGGTTGCGGTATTGAACAACCCGGTTATGATCGTCAATCAAAGGTAGAGTGTCTTGGCCGTGCCCATTGTGCATCGCTGCAAGTGTCTCAGCGAGTGTTTTGTCTAGGGCTTCCCTTCTGAAAATTGTAGGATTTCTTTTTGATAGGCGAAGGACGTAGACAGATATTGGAGTCATGTCTTTATGAGCAGTCTCATAGACATAGTCGACATTGTTGAGATCTAGCACGAAATAAGAGTGGCGACCGGGGTATATGTTCACAGCGAGGAAGGAAGTCTGGTTGTCTGGCCGATCTTTTCGAAGGGAACCCTCGACCTTTGACACAAATGGACGTATAGACCCCAAATAATCTCTGGAATCGAGAATACTGTTGGGAACATCACCAAGTATTCGAATTGGCGATGAATCAACCGATTGAAGAAAACTCTTTATGGTATCTGAGATTTGACCCATGATACGCTCACGAATTTGTTGCATTGACTCCCCCATTGTATGAATAGCAATGTGTGAGACCGTTGGAAAGCTAACAGAAAAGGAAGATCCCAAACCCAAAGATTGTCAGCTCATTCAGAGGCCGTTCAATCCAGGGCTGATATTTATGTCGGTACCACACCGCCCTAGATACCTATATTCTAAATGGGAATAGCGCAGGCAATAACCGTTGGCGGGCGCACAATGCACCTAAGATTTTCCCAATCTGCGTGTGCCAACTTAAGATAAAGTGTATGTATTGACCCACTACTCGGACCTTATCGCCCCACCAACCACTCGGTTGCTGATGTTGATGGGGTGCGAAGATCCGAGTAGTGGGTCGTTTCACAACCTTCACAACCTTCACAACCTTTCGATTCCTTTTCGCTTTCTTTTCGCTTCCTTTGCGCTTCCTCTCGCATAGTTCGCTATTCCATTCCAATACGGGTTCCATCAAACACCAAGCATATCATGTCGCACAGTGGTCTTCTTGATTCAATATCCCATCAGCGAGAACGTTTTGGGAATGACCTCAAGCTTCATTTTAGGACCAACTCCCACAAAATCCATGTCGCCTTTCAGACTACGTACGATCCAAGCAACAAAGAACAACAACGGGTCGCCAGGCAGCTCACGGGAATATGAGTACTGGGGGATTATATTTGGATTCTTGCAGTCACTTCTATTTGCTATACCAACTTCCGGACCATGAAGAACTTCGATATGCAGTTATTAGCACTCAGAACGTGGACAAAGGAGAATCCTATCCCTACTCCTCTAGAAGCAGAAGCAAATTCAATTCTGCTCCAAATGGAAGAGAAACAAACGGCTATCTTTCAGAGTATGTTGTTAGCTTCGGGGTACTAGTTCTTGCTAATGAATATTAGAGTCTAGAGAGAGAAGGAAGACGAAAATCAACCACCAAGATACACTGGGCCCTGGACTACCATTTCAGCTTGAGCTCAACTCCAATGCGGTGCCCCAAGAAAAGCTGCAGTTTCTCGATACAATCGACCGAATGTGTAAAAGAGATCAAACTGGGATTGTAAGAGTCACCCGTATTGATGAGCTCCATGATCATCTACAACGCCCATTTGGAAAACCAATACTCTGGCGAGGATATGCTAAGGAACCCCGTCTTCATGGTCTCCCATTATCTATACCGGAACTTCTTCAGAAGTTACGTCTCCTGGGTATAGATTCGTTGGAGGTCTACAATTATGCGAGAACCGACTCTAATTACACCGAAACACTGGATAACATTCTTGACCATTTTCAAGCGCCTCCTGGTACTCGCGACCCGCTGAACTTTCTGGATATCCGCAACTTCTTCGCATCTCGAGTCCCAGTCGAGATTAATGAAGTTGACCTACTTCGCTTGGCTCGCCGACGACATGGAACAATGCCAGCCCCAGAATTCAAGAAGTCGCGTCTCCATGTGGCCCCGGCGGATAATTCCGCTTCGGAACTCAAACGATCAGCATCCAAGTCCCAGAAGTTACATACCTTAATGGATGCTGCGGACCATGAGTTTCTCCTACTCTCTAGTCAAGGTTCTATCTCTACGCTGCATGGTGATACAGCAGGAGGAGCGACATTTATCACGGTCATTTCTGGAAGAAAGCCCTGGTATCTGCCGCGAAATATGGACCGGGAGGCTTCTGAGATTCTCGCTACGTTTGGAAGTTCTACTCCTGAGACGTACAATGGCTTCATCAAGATTGAGTTACTGCCTGGAGATCTTCTGTATGTGCCATGACTAGAATATATTTATGTTACTAATGTATCTACTAGTATAATGCCCCCTGGTTGTCCACACGCTGTTGCCACGCCAGAGCACACACTAGCATTTGGAGGTTCATTCTACACACTACCACATCTTGGTTCTAGCCTCCGGGTGTTAGCAATCCAAGACAGGGCGGGAACTATCTTCAGCAATGAGGACATCAAGGAGCAAGACTTGATAAATTTCATTGAAATGTTGGTGACATGCAAGGACTTGCTGCAGGAGAATATCATCTCGCCGGAGCTATTAGCAAGTGTTGTGTCTAGTAGTATGTGCTGGGGTGCTGTGAAAAATAAGCAGCAGCGCAGGATACAGGAACTTATCCAGGAGATCCAAGGAGAGATAGAGAAGAGGTTTGACTAGGTTTAAAATTGTTCAAGAGGGACGGCGCACAGGAACAGGGGTGGCTAATACGGGAGTCAAGCGTGGGAAAACGAGAAAAGGCAGAAAGGAAAAATATAAAGTACCTGAATGTCGTGATTGCCACATACCAACGCTTGTCCTCCAGATAGATCAAATCTGTCGGGTATACGTATTCCATACCCGAGCTGCTTATCGAATGGATGTAGACCCAGCTGAACAATGCTACAAATCCTACTACCTTCCAAATTAAGCACCAGGGGTTATTTTGTGGGCAGTAGTTGACAGATCGTAAGCTGAGCAGTCTTGTGGCACAAGGGGCACTTCATAATGTCAAAGTGATATTCAGCGCTTTTATTTAGAGTGCCAAAAACCATAACGCAGGTATCGCAAATTATATACCGGCACTGATTGCGTCTTTTCTGATACTTGCCGACGACCTGGTTGGATTCATTGAATGGAAGAACGGCGTAAAATGAGCAAACACGGCATTACAATGTTGGTTTTTGTCGTTATCCCCTAGATGGAAGCGTGGGATTGTTAACACTACATACTCTCTTGTCGTTCGTCCGGATTCTGAGTCAAGAGTCCCGGGAGCATCTCAAGCATACCGTAAATACTCAACAGAATCATTCTGAATTCCTCCTGCCATATTTCTTTAAAATAATACAAAAAAAGCCTTAACACTCACCAAAATGATGTATAGTACAATTTGTAGAACACTAGATCCAGGCATGGCCCGCATAAATAGTACGTTCGTCTAGATTTGGTGAGGCATAGGATGAGCGTTTCTTCTCGCCTTTTTCTGAGGTAATAGCTACACTGCTATCTTGCGTAATCTTACAGAAGGATTCAGGCAAACTTGAAATGTAATGGTTATAGCAGTTGAAAGTTAAAATGAGGAATTAGGTGGGCATTTTTAGTAATTATTTTTACTTGCCCGAAGTTGCAATATGTCAGGCCATATTGACTGCATAGCATGAAATAACGATTATATAGAGTTTCATAACTCCGTAGAGCAAATGGTTATGCCCCTGGGAGCACTTGAACCCCTAGGGACTAAACAAGAGTTCCTGGGAGTCGTCTAGTGCCCCAACTTTCCATGATCATTTCCAGTAAGTTTAAGTTTTAAAGCCCTAAAGCCCTAAAGCCCTAAGCCCAAAGTGCTACTGCGGGAGGTTTCAGCCGTATTTACCACTAGGCAAAATGGCGGCAAACCCCCTGGATCTATTAGCTCCTAGGAAAAGTTGAGAACCTGGATCAAATTCTGGCCCCTATGTATGAACTTCAACAATCTAATTAATTAGTTACACTCCTACACATAATTGGTTCATTGCTTCTATGCTTCTCCATTTGCTTTTAGTATATAACCTGCTTCTCCCAGGTTTTCTGCTCAGCTAGCCTACCCCCAAGGGAAGTACTTCGTTGCTACCACGCATTTCGAGCTACATCGAATTTTCCCCCGCAATTCTTTTACACATAAGGCATCTTCTCAAGAAGTGGTTATTTGCAAAGAGCTCGTACACTCTGATGCAATGTTTGAAGGATACAAGTTTTTCAAAGCAGATCCTAGCCTAGGGCAAAGGTCAACGTGGGCCCGGGCAGAGCGAATTAAATTGCAAATCGAACAGAACGAGCTCTACTCCATGGTCCATGAGCGGGCAGACGCGTATTCTGCTCAACAGCAAGATCAACATGTGGGCTACAACTGCCGTGCACAGATCAACCAGCTGGTCCAAGATCGACAAGATGAGGATCCAAAGACTAAGTGGAGCTGTGTGTATGTCAAACAAACAGTCTTCATGTTGGTCATCATCATGGGGAGACCAGCGCAAATGGGAAAATATCCCAGAACGCCTATGGGAGATCTCGTGGATCTCAGTCCCAGAGCTCTCCTTTACCCGCCCGAGAGCGAGATGAATTATCCCGGATATTCCAGTCTAGGTGGAGATTATGGAATGTCACAATACCCCGACCACTTATATCAAGTGGCTCCAACATCACCAGCCTGTATGTTGTACGCCTTTTTCTTACCCCGAACATCGCCTTAACCTGGATCAACTCCCGCTATATGAAAGGTAAGCAGGCCAACTCCTTTTCTCTTTTATCCCTTTCAAGACCTGTTTTCCTCCCTATTTCCTCGCTGTTTTGGGGCAAAAGTTTCTAGATTTTGGCTTTACCCCTCACTATTAGCCCTGTTCCACAATCTGACTTTTTGATTCCTCCTAGTGGGCAAAATAGTAGCCAGGGGAGGTATTTACCTCATGCTTCCAGCCTCGACGATCAGAAGTTCATGCCACCAAATCGCTCTAAGCCTGACGAGACTTTCTGTCAAGAAGTGCTATCACAGCCCCCCGTTGAGTTTCAGCAAATGAACCCAAGCCACGCCCATCACCATCGCAATTTAGATTTTTCCAACAAGGCGATAACTCAGTCCGGAAGATCGGAATCTGTGACCATCCCTATGACACTCACACGATCTTCCAGCTTTGCTGAAAATCAATCATGTCACCACGACCGTAAGAGAATTTGCCAATCCACTCAGCCTCGTCAAAGCAACGAAGCCCATTGTCAAGAATTTCGGGATAATGGAACCTGCGATGAAGGAGAAGCGCCAGGACGGTAATCATCTTTAAGATAAGTGGCCCAAGGCAACTGATATGGGTCGTCTCATTCATATTACTCTGGCGGTCAAACGAGAAGTGCTTGTTCGTTGTGATGTATTCTATCACATGCGTGGCTATACTACAAAACCGGGGGCACGGAGGGGTCTGTCCTCGCCGAAAAAGCCATGCTGGAGGTATTTCAGCCTGTCGTCAACTCTGATCTGGTTATTGGAGCGTTGAGTTCTCGTTTTCTGATTTTCGGCCGAGGGTCTCTCAGATAGGTTCACTCAAAGATTTATCTTCGATATTTCGCCCATCTATAACTGCCCAAGTCTCAAGAAATATTTAGAACTTTACTCGATTGACAGGAAATTTAAGCATTGACACATAGATTTAAGCGAGCTCACAGCATTAACACGGCTTCTGTATAGAGGCATGATTTTATTTTCATCTACATGCCTTAAGTTCTGGAGACAGCCAAGGCCGCAAACTTGTCGTGACCTACTTATGTTGTATGCTCCATAGTCGCTACAGCGAAGTGTCTTAGCAGCCAATCCTACCCACCCCTTGTGTAAAAATCCTTGTAACAGCGCCCCTGGCCTTTTTGCGGATTCTTCTCAAATACTCTCATGAGAATTCCAATCAATAAGCGCCCCAGAAATCGCTATCAGGTCAGGGCAACAGCATGCATCATAACTTTCCCCGCCCGACACGGCGAAGCTTGAAGGCTCTCATATGTAAGGAGGGAGGTCTTTACCCTTCATAACGTATATCACCCCCGCCCATCCGCGATGCGTCCTTGATCTCCGGCCTAGTAAGATCGACTCTCTTCATTCATAGTCTGCCCCCGAAACATCTCAACTGCGATTCTTTGGACCATGGCAAACAACAATGGCCACTGGCCTCCAAATGTGCATTTCCAACCTTCCAGCACCCCAGTGCCAAGTCCCCATTCATATCCGCTCAGTGGGATTATCAACAACCACCCCTCCGAAACAGGTAATTTACCACTGCCTGGCAAGCCGGCCCTCGCCTATAAAGAGTAGACTTTTGTCAAATTGTCAGCCTTCTGTTTCCTGGCTGTTTCTATCACTTTGCTTCAAGATGTCTGACGTGGAAAGGTGGCTCGCAATCTTGCTTCAAGCTCTGGTAAAAACGCGCTTGAAATATATCTGTCCGCGATGCTTTCAGCTCTTTTCAGATCCAACTGCATGCTACCGTCATTGTCGAAAGGAAGGAGAAGGAGGTGAAGGTGAGGGGAATGAAGGGGTCGATATCCACAACGGTCTTGGTCTGATCACTAAAAAAGACTTTCCGGAATTCCTTCGATGCTACCGGGATGCTATTGGATTTCAGATAAATTAAAGTGAGCTTCCCTTGGGAGAGGGTCCAGGATGCCGCTCTTACGAGAAAGTTTTCTCTGTTGAGTTTGTACTTCAATATTGTGGAGAGTTTTTTCACACAAACGCAAGCCCTATGTGCTGAGACTGATGATAAAACAGTCCCAAGAAGAGAAGTAACCGATGCAATGCTGTTGGTCGTGATTAAGATCCCATTGAGTGAGATAAGTATGTTGCAGAGGAAACTCGTCGACGGAGGACAAACCAACAGTACAATGTAGGTACCGGCAGAAAACTTTCAACTCCAATGTTGGCTCGCATATCCCACAACAATCTTTGACAGGTGTGGATTAGAAAAAAAGCAAAGGAAATTATATGGAGGTATGGCATAATATCCAGTGATTGAAGTTGATGTTGAGGCAGGTGATTGCCTTGAAGCTCGGCGTATATCTGCTGTCTTTATCATTGCTCATTGACTAGTATGAAATGGTATGTTCACGAGTAACATTAGAATAGCTACCTTATCCTAATTCTAACAGGATACATTCTCGGGAAAATATACTATGAATATAAATCACCATATTTTTTTTCTATTTGAGGCTGACTGAATGTGGATATATATGGAACACATCAATAGCTTACGAATTGTTCGGTGTAACTTGGGTTAAAATCAAAAATGTGGTCCAATATTAACAATTCTTTCGAGAATGACTTTGAACTTTGGATTGGGAACCAGCAGTCCTCGAAGCTTCTTGTAGCCACTGGTACTCGTATATATGTACAACACCCTCGCTACTCGTATAGGAAATGGCTTGTCTACCCTCCCTGTTGTGCTCCTGGCCCTGGCTTTTCTTTGTGGAGTTTCAACCTTCAAGCACCGCGCGCACCTACTTGTACCTACCTTGACAAGTCTTACTCCAAAGCATCAAGCCTCAGAAACAGTCTGTTTATATCTCTCAATCCTTATTAACACTGTACACACCCTAATCCGAATGGCAGATGTGTCATTGAAAACAAAAGCTCTTTCAACTTTGCGGATGCCTATCTCCTGCGTTGA